ATGCATCTGAATCACAAGATGCCAAATACCCCTCATAAAGGTTAACGGTTCTTAGGACTGTGAGGTGTGGAAAGTACCAACAGCTTAGGCATAATAAGATTTCATGCACAAATGATGAGGTACCTAAGCCCCTAGTCCCAAAAAGGAAGATTGGAAGACTTAGGAAAGATGGGGGAGGCCAACCTATCTTTGACAAATTCCCTCCAGTTGGGCCTGATATACCAAGAAGGGATGTTGCTCCTCCCCCTGTTTCAAAATCTGGTGGTCAAGATGGTGGTCCTACTGTTAGTCCTATGAAAATGACTAAGATGAGTGCAAGGAGAGGGGGGGGGGGGACTAAAGTTTTTGGATCAAGGAACAAAACACCAAAGAAACCACCTAATGGTAAGCTACATAAGAGTCAAGCAAAAGAGGATGTTCCCCTAACATGTGATGAAGATTTTTATGATCTTTTCACCCATGCACCTAATGGTAAGAAACTTGTGAATCAAGCAAAGGAGGATGTTCAGGAACAATAGAATGACAATGAGGTGAAGGTGAATGAAAGAGTTGGTTTAGAGGAGTTGTTGTTGTGTTGATATACACATGTTGATGCAGTGGCTGCTATGAAAAAGGTATGCGTTGTTACATTATTTTTGGCTTTCATATAGTAGCATTACTAACTAGCCTGCCATATTGTAGGTTTATGGAGAAGTTGAGGAAACAAATGTTGATGAAAGAGATGTTTAGAAAAGAGATCTTCAGGAAAGAGAGATTGAAGAAAGAGAGGCTGAGGAAGAAGAAGTTGAAGATAGAGAAGTTGAGGAAGATGAAGTTGAAGGTAGAGAGGTTGAGGAAGAAGAAGTTAAAGAGATAGAGGTTGGAGCAAGAGTGATACCCTTAGGTCCTGGTTCTTACAATTTCCATTGGGAGAAAAATAGGACTCCCTCTGAAAGAATTAGGAAATTAAAGCTTAGGAAAATGATTGAAGATGCTGATGGTGGTAGTTCTTCCAAAACCCCTTGGGTTTTAGATTAAGAAGTTGTGTTTAAAGGTTGAATGGGTAGAATGGGCATTAGTAAATATGTTGCCATTTTGTAAAGATCTACTTTTGGTACACTTGTCATTTGGTAACAAGATTCTAATTCATGTCCATAATGTTTGGTAGAATTGGAAGTTTGGTTCTAATTAGGTTACTTGGTATGGTAGTGGTTTGTGGGAAGCTTTGTAAAATAGATTCCCCTTTTGGGTTGTTAACTAACATTGATATTTGGGAATCTTTTGTAAACAACATGGTATGATTGTTAAGTTATCAATATATATGCCTTGATCAATATAATTGTTGTTACCTTCCATGTTTTGGTTAGTTTGGTAAGTAGGTTGCTATTAAATTTTCAGGATTTGGTTATTTTTATACATATGTATGTGTTAAAGGACTTAATACATTGTTATCATTAAGACATAATAAGTTGTTATCATTTTCATCTCTTACAACACCAAAATATTACCATACATAGCACATATATAAAGTTATTGTCTAACTTGACCAAAATACCCTTACACCTAAATTACTACTACCATTCCACCTGAACCTAACTAATGCCTACAACTTCACAATGCTTTAACCACAACATTGTGAACCATAAACCCCATCACAATCACCACCACCAAAAGCATGACCATCATAAGTAGCACCACTTTCAACAGGTTTAAAATATCCACTTGAACTACTTTGTTGTTCTTGGCCTCCTCTGAAAACTTCAAAATCTCAATTTCAAATGCTTTATTGTTTTTAGCATCCTCCAAATCCATATGGAACTTCCATATAGTTTCCTTTTAGTAAGTGTTTGGCAGTAGTGGATCAAGCCATAAAAAAATTGCATTTTTTTGGAGTCCTGCACAACAACCACTTCTTCATACTGGTTCAACAAGACCACAAAAAGAAGTAAGAAAATTGATATTACCTGATAGTTTGGACACGCCCTAAATTTCCTCCATGGATTATTGATAGTTTTGGAGATCGAGAGCAGGTTCATCACACTCGCATCTCAAATCTTCAGACCAACGATTCCTTAAAGTCCATTCTCTATAACCTTGTGTTTGTGGGTTGGAGAAGCTTACCATCTTTTTGGTTTGACGTTGGAGAAAAGAAAGGAACAAAACCTAGCTAACAACTACCTCCAACGTTCGACTAAGCTTTGTAACCTGCTGAAACCGGTAAAATCGGTACTTTGCCCTCTTACCATAATTCCACGAAAATATCGTATCCACAGTCAACGAAAAATTAAATTCAATGCTTTTTTCAATTTAGTGCAAAAAATTATGGGATTTTAGTGATATTAGTCCTACAAAAAAGTGTTACAAGATTTAACTATTAAGACCAACTCCAATGGACCGGCAAAATGGTGATTTGCCGGCCAAAAGAGCTCCAATCGAACTGTAAAACAAACGGTAAAATGGTGATCTTGACGAGTAACCCACTAAAATGGTGGGACAATGTTCACAACCGGCAAAATTTATAATCAATATTATATTGTTTATATATAAAAGAATTACTTTGTTTGTTCTTTGACCCTTTTTCCTTCAATATTATATTGTTTAGGGTAAATTACACGAATGGTCCCTATGGTTTAGGGTAATTTGCGTGTTTGATCCCTAACTTATTTTTCTAACTCGGAAGGTTCCTACTGTTTGTTTTTGTTGCACGCTTGGTCCCTATCTTACATAAAAAGTCTATTTTTCCCTTGATTTTTTAATTTATTTAAGTAAACACACCCCCAACCCACCCCTCACCTTACCTTACCCACCCTACAATTTTTTCCCTATTTAAATAACTGTCTTTTTACGTAAGATAGGAACCAAATGCGTAACAAAAACAAAAAATAGGGACCAATCGTGTAACAATAAAAAACAATAGGGACCTTCCGAGTTAAAAAAATAAGTTAGGGACCAAACGTGCAAATTACCTCAAACCATAGGGACCATGTAATTTACTCTATTGTTTATACATAAAAGTATTATTTTATTATTAATATATAAAATATATGTTTTTGAGGGGAAGATTATACTCTGCGGTAGGAATGAAGACGAAATTTGGTGTTAAAGTTACACTAGTTTAGAGTTTTACTTATTTGATGTTAAGGTTGGATTTGCTCTAGGAGCATCTGCCACAAAAGAACTTTTCTCATAAACTTTCTCTAATGATCCACTTTTTAAAATGCTTTTTTCAATCAATTAATTTTTCATTTATCTATCTTAAAAGTTGCATTAATTCTCCCACTTTTTCTATATTATTTATGGATTTTAAAACATGTCATATTTTGGGAAAAAAAATATTTGACATTAAATTAATTTTAATGTATTACAATGCCGATATTCGGGAAAAAAACAAGTTATAACCTACAATCCGTATTTTATTATTTTAGTCTTATTGCACAATATTTGATAATCCACAAGTTGGTCCTCTCTCATATCTTGTATATTCCGAGTTACATTTTTTTATTGTTTTATCCTCATTGAAAAACGTTACATTTTTTTATTTTTTTATCCTCATTGAAAAACTGAACAAATCTTTTATCTCTTTAACATGTTTAGTTACTTTATCTACATGAGACATTATTAAATCTCTAAGATTATTTGGTCCCTCTTTTAAGGTAGTCACATTTTCCTTTTGTTTTTTTGTTTTTCGTGGGACAACTTCAGCATCTTATCATTTTCAATGTTGACGATTGTTTTTGTATTTGATGATGTTGTGTAACTAGACGAGCTAGCTTTTTCTTTTCATAACATGAACATCACTTCTGTCCTTCCATTTGGGTCCATCGATCCTTAACGATTAGTGCATGTTCATATTTAAATAGTATAATTTTAAATTTATTTTTAAAATTATCAATTTCTTATATTTGGAATAATATAATTTAAAATTATCAATTTCTTCCATGGTCTTCAAACAATCCACTATTATAGCTGTAAATGAACTGCACGGTCGACGAATCGCTCGCCGCTCGAGAAGGAACATGAACACAAATTCTCGTTCGTTTAGTTAAATGAACGAACATGAAAAATGGTTTCGTTCGTTCATTTATGTTCGTAAAGTTACATTTATGTTGTTCGTTTATTTAAGTTTATTTATGTTTATATTTGTTTAATTACTTTTTTATTACATTACTATATTATATGTTTTGTTTATGTTTAATTATGTTTATTTATCATTGTTCGTTTATGTTTGTTTAACATGTTCATGAATATAGACGAACGAATATAAACAATGTAATTTGTTAAACAAACAAACATGATTAAGAAAACTCGTTCGTTTATCTTTTTGAGTTCGTTTATTTGTTCGACTAACTTAAACGTACGAACATAAACAAATCATTGTTTGTATTTGTTTGATTCGTTTATAACCTATAGTCTATTATCTATTATGGTTCCTAAATTTCGTGAGTATCTCACAATGTCTTTTTCTCGACTAAACCATAAGGATCTTCGTAGGACTCCGTCTATGCGTCTATGGCCTATGGGCTATGGTTCTATGCACTTCTAGATTATTAATTGGCCCATATGACTTTCCTTGTTGATTCAAATATTTCAAGGGCAACATTTTAAGTTCAACTTCTACCATTATGAGTTCTTTAAATGCAAATTCAAAATTTGCCCTTTCTTTAAGAGCAAATTGCAAAATTTAGCCTTTTATAATATATCGTTGGTTTTGACTTTTGAATATAGTTCAAAAACGGATTTTATAGCTTTCTATTCATGTGGACTGGTTTCTATTTGGTTTTGAATTTGGTCCTTATCGCGTCCTAATATGAGCCATAAAATTATATAAAACGACTATTTTGCCTCTCATGAATTCAAATACAACATTATAAACCGTAAACTTCTGATTTCTTCTAGAATAAATTATAAATTTAGCCTCTTTGCTACTTATTATATGATCCAAAAACAATTTTTGTGGTTTCATTATGTTTTCTTCTAGAGTAAATTAGAAACGTTGTGTTTTAGAAGAACTTGAATCTAACTTGAAAGGAACAACATTGCTTCTATAAAACCAAGAACAACAACTTAGAATTATGATGATCATCTTAAAAAGAATATAATAATCAAGTATACAACAACACTCATGAATCTTTATTTCCTTTCTTCCACTTATATGAATTTCCTATAATTTCATAACCTTATACATCTTCAAATATCAAATATATTTTCAGTCAATCCGCTCAAGATTAAACTTAACCATCCCCTCAAGAGCCATCCGAAAAGCACTCTGAGGAAGACACTGAAGACACTGAATTGCCACGTCAGCTTTATGTTTTGCTAAACTCCTTGCCCTTTCAATCCCACCACTATTCATCACAAGTTCAATAGCTTCACCAAGAGACCCGGTTTCACAGAACTCTGACTCAATAATATCCCTCAGCCTTGACTCCTTTTCAAGAGCAAAAATCACGGGTGCAGTAAGATTTCCTTTCGCCAGGTCACTGCCAGCTGGCTTACCCAATTGCTCTGCTGACTGTGTGAAATCCAATATGTCATCGACAACCTGGAAGGATAGGCCAAGATTCTTCCCATATTGATACATCTGTTCGCTGACATCATTGGCTACACCACTAAAAATGGCTGCTCCTTTTGTGCTAGCAGCGATTAATGATGCGGTTTTATAGTAGCTTTTGATTAAGTATTCATCCAGTTTAACATCACAATCGAATAAACTTGATGCCTGTTTTATTTCACCACTTGCAAAATCTTTAATAACCTGTGTTTATAATGAATAGCTCTCAAGATGTTAGCTTCTACTCTTTTTGTTTCTTTGATGTTTTCAAGTGTTGAAATTGATATCAGATTATACCTGGCTAATAAGTTTTATGACCTCCAGATTTTCAAGATTAGCAAGGTACCATGATGACTGGGCAAACATGAAATCGCCAGCTAGGACTGCCACTCGTGTACCATATATCTGATGAACGGTTTCTTTACCTACATACAGAATGAAAAATGATACAAAAAAAAATGAGGAAATAGAAGGGAATGATGAATGAGGGCAAATTTGTAAAAAGTTTGGACTTGATCATCTACTCCTTTTTGGACGAATAAACTGTCTGAATCTAAGTAAACGACCATTTTACCCTTCTATATAGAAATGACGATGACCAACAAATTATTGTTTATTTAAAAAGTTGTTATAGAGTTGAAATTAAAGAAATCACTATTTATTTTATATAACAAAAGTGATTATATTTAATCAAAGCATGATTGGTAACTTAAAATCAACACAAAATTTAATCATGATAGTAAGATGGTTTGAGCACCGATGTTCCACTTAAAATATTAAGAGCCTTGAGTTTGTATCAAGTCAAGTAAGAAACAAAAATATGTACATATCTGATTGGATTAAGTCGTGTCCCCATTAAGTCCATTAAGTAAAAAAAAAAAAAAAAAGAGTACAAGTTTGTACCTCTTCTCATGTCGCTTTCATCTAACACATCATCATGTATCAAGCTTGCAGTATGAATCATTTCAATGATCTCAGCCAAACGCCTATGTTCTCTCGTGAGTTCACTGATTCACAAAAGCAAACTCGTTACATTATATAAAATCATTCAGGAATCAAAAGAAAAAGATTTAAAAACAAAATAAAATTACTCACTCTAAACCTGCAAGTGCTAACGTGGCTCTTGACACTAAGAAAACCAAGGCTGGTCTCATTCTCTTTCCACCCGCACTAAAAATCTGCTCAGCTGCAGACATTAAAACCGGGTTTTCTGCACCAACAATCTACCACACAAAAAAATATCAAGAATCATCAAAATTAACCACTTAAAAGGAAATTCTAATTCAAATTCATGATCACAATCTTCAATCTTCAAGTACATTAAGCTAGGAAACTTGACTCGAAAGTGTGTAGAACATTGATAACACAAATCTTGTAAGAGACGAAGAAAGACTTACAGATTGTAGATTCTTGTTCAATGTTAGAAGGTCATCAGAAACAGCTTCAAACAAATCGGTGGTGGATTCTTTCTTCCCATTTAAAACTGGTGGAGGACCTGGGACATCACCTATTGATAAACATTATGTTATGTTAGAATTTAGATCACCAAAATGAATCAAATTGTAATGAATTGATACCATTTAGTAAAGTCCCAGGAACTTCAGTTGAAAACACTCGACACTTTGCGATATTATTATCACGGCGGTAACATATCAATTTCCGGCCACCGCCAACGCCACCGCCACCGCCACCGCCACCGCCACAGTAGCCCCTATTCACAGTCCTAATCACCGTTCGTGCGTAATTTCTTGAAGGAAACCGGTCGAATGAAGAACTGAAAGAACACCCACAAGGAACGGAATCAACAAACGCAGTTCGACCAAACTCAAGATTATGGCATGTCGCCGGCATCATCTTCCTAAATATCCCCAAGATTATATTTTTCTTCAATGAAATCGAAAACCCAACTAGGATATTGTCCTAATTCGAGTATAAGCAAACACCCGCCAAGCAAAAAGCCATAATATCGAAGAACAATGCGAAATGAGAGAGAAAGGAAGACGCAAGTTGGAAGTTGGACCCAAGAGAAAGGTTAGAGGCTTACAGAACTGTAATCTTGAATAGATATAGTAGATTTTCAGTGGATCCGAAAAGTCCACATATGCTAAACAACGATGTTGGTTTTTAAATTTCCTTTTGCTTTAATTGGAAGGTACAAAACAGCAGAGGGTTATTAACAGCGATTAAGGTAGTGGTGTATATATATCGGTTTCTTGATTTGACCAAAGGGTCGTATGAATGAAGAGGTATTGGGAGGAGAGGGGGAGAAAAGGGCACCTTATCTACGACTTCAATTTGTGTGTGTGGCATTGCAGTTGGTGGCCAATTCAGAAACGTTCATCAGTTGTGTGATCTTGGAGAAATGCCTTATTTTTCTAATTCTCCATTTTTCTTTTTTAATTCAAAATTAATATCTCGAAGAAATATATTTTCAATTTATATACTTTATAAATTAATCCATCAATACGATTTGAAATCATATGAACGTCATAAACATATATGCATTGTTTTTAAAATTATTATTTTCATTACAACCTTTTTTTTTATAAAAGCTCAACAAAATAAGTGACAAAGCTCAACAATATTGTACCTAAATTTGTTTTATATTTGGGTGGTGTTTGATACAACACGTTGGCCAGTTAATACAAATACAATCAATGTTAATATTTCCAAAATAAGTATTACTTCTAGATGTTTAAATCACAAACGTATCAATATATATTAGATCATGTACAATAGCCTTTATCTTATTAAATTTTGGTTTATCTGTAAAGAGAATACATATTTTAACCATCTAACATAACAATTTCTCATGTTTTTCATTTGACGCGTGGATAAAGTCATGAAAATATATAGATGTGTTCCTTTTGGGCACCTCATCTTTTTAGAAGTCGAACCACTAAAGTTATATCGTTGTTCATAAAATCAGGTAAATTGTAACATGTTTACCTATTTGACTAACTACTTTGTGACAATGACATAACAACAATTTGAAACAATCTCAATAAGTACCAACCATCTTTAATTTTATACCACTTAATAATTATCCTAGCTTTTCTTAAGAAAGTATAGGGTAAAGTAAACTACAGTTTTAGTCCCTATGGTATGTTGAAACTTACAAATTTCATCCCTGCTGAAGTAATTTTGTTATTTCACTCTCTCCATTGGCTACTCTTACCATCTTAATTTTGACATTCAATTATAATTTAATTAAAAATATAATTATATTCAAATATAATTTAATAAAACAAGTGAACAATAATCTTCATTAAGAAACACATGTTACATACATCTCAAACAAGTCGCACACTTCTTGTTGTAATCCTGCAGTTTCAAAAACTCCCACAATTAGTTCACATATACTAGACCCAATTTCACAAAAAAAAAAAAAAAAAACTTGCCTTCCTAGTCGAGACAACTCACGCTCCTCAAGCAGCATATCTTTCAATGATTTCCCCAACATTTCATTGCCACAAGAACTACAAATACAAAAAACCAAAAAGATAGAAACATATATAAGAAATAGCAACGTAATTGACAATAAGATTCCCAGCATCATACTTTCAACATTTATCTTATTAGGAATTATATTTAGCTATGATTCAACCCAATACTTTTCATGTATATAGTTTACACACCTGTGAAAGAAGTCAAGAGAGAGGAGTCTATGGTGTATGGCAAAATCAGCCCCAACATAAGTGACAATAAGATTCCCAGCATCAGGGTGGGGCCAGCTTCTCGATGTAGGAAACCGGAGGACAAATGTGCCGGGGTCCACAAGCCCCCCAGTGGGACCCTGGAGTGAAGATTCCGCTTCTTCTTTTGTAACAAGTCCTTCAATCCATCTGGAATCCCACATTTCATTAAGCCCATTTTGTGATAAAGCAAAAGCCACAGGGTATAGCCAACACCATAACTTCTCAAAGTTTTCTTGAGTCACCGAGTCCTGGCAACCACCGATTCTTCTCAACACCTCAAAGTCCTGCAAAAAAAAAGAGTCAAATTCATAGATTCCAAGGACGGAATCGGAATCGGAATCGGAATCGGAATCGGAATCCTTTTAATGGGAGAGAGTTGTAACCTGATGCACCAAGAATCTATTCCGACATGAAGAAATCTTGATAAACTGGTCTCTTAAGACCGGAATCATATTATCCCACGACACATGGTGGTGATTCTGCAATACCGAATTCCAGACATTTGTTCCTTCCTCTATCATCTTCTTTGAACTTCTTATTTGATTCCTGGAATCCAAATTCAATAAGATAAAAAAACACAGGAAAGTAATGTTGGTTTTACTTTTATGCAAGCAAATTACCGATGATGAAGGCAACCAGAGAACTGTGAAACCCGCATGGCAAAGTCCATAACATCTTGTTGGGAAGTGGAAGTTGCAAGGTCTTTTAGAAGAAGAGATTTTTCGGTTAGGGTTCCAAGGCAGTATTTGAATACAGTTAGGTCTGAAACCGGACTTCCATTGCTTTTACATGAGTTTGTTGCTTCACTGCTATTACTATTGCTATTACTATTACTATCTGTGTCTGATGATGAATTGTATATTTCTTCTCTACCTTCCAAAATCCTACCATTTGATCTATCATCCTGTTGCAAAACAAAAAGTTAAGATCTACAACATGTCTTAAAATGTAAGGATGTGGTTCACAGAATGTTTTTGGAAGGAATGAATCTGTTAAAGGAATTGGAATCTATTACGTGTTTGGTTCGCAGGAAATGGAATGGGATTCAATAATTTAAAAAAAATAATAATAAAGGAAAATGCAACGTGCTTCCTATTTTTCCTTATTATAGCGTTGTACTTTGTTTTTTTCCTTATTACAACATGGTATTTTCAAAAATCAAAATATTCCTTATTAGAGCATTTTACTTTGAAATTATTCGCAGGAAATGGAATGTGATAACATTAAATTCAATTCATTTGCTAACTAAACAAGTCATGGAATGGAATCACGATTCATGAATTCCAATTCCGTCATACTCCCCCGGAATCCACAAACCAAACGCGCCTAACAGGATTACAATCAAATCTTTTAGTGAACTAAAAATCAATAGGATTGAAGAATTTATACCTCATGGTGTTCTTCATATCCTTGATTGAATGAATCATCAGGCTTTAAATGCACAAAGGGGTTTACTAGTCCTAACTTGATCCGTTTTGATGGTGGGCTTGGTTTTGCCTCATGAACCACATTGTTCATGGGCTCAATGGATCCTCCATCTGGCCCAAAGGTTCCATTGACCGAATGCATAACAGTGGTTGACCTTTTCCATATCAAAGTAGATGGACGTGTAGTACGATTACGTGAAATACACCGAATAGAACACGAAAACACTTCAAAAAATGGATATCTTCCCATCTTTGGAATGTTGAATTTAATACAAAACAACTTGTTATCACACTTTGATGAAAGCTGAGACAAGAGAAAACAAAGAACATGTAAAAAAGACAAAAATATAAATACAATTTTCTTATCTTATATATATATTTTTAAATGTAACCTGAGATATCTTGAGCTTAAATGAAGCACGTCCATTAATTAGTGTACTTGGTCTGTCCCATGAAGCAAACTCGATTCCATCATAACTTGTCAGCAGTGGAGCTTCTGCATCATCTGGTTTTTCGACATGTGCATAATTGTCCACATATGTAAGTGTAGCAACAACCTGTCAATAAAAAAAATAATATGCTTGACCTTATTATGATATAATTGACCTTATTACAGCCTTGATTTTTGTAACAAACACAAACTAAGTGTCAATTTGCCTTACAAACCTCCATTTCTTTGTTGACCAAGTGCCCAAAAGCATCCATTAAAACAACATCCAAGGAGAAATTCCTTCGGCAAGAAGCCTGTATTTCATATGTAACAATTAAACACCAAAATATGGTGAAACACACAGCTATTTAATACAAATAAGAAATCAAATACGGGATATTAAGAAGCATTAGGGAAGATAAATCTATTAAAACTTACCTTGCCACCAACAACAGTCCACACACCATCATTGTCTTCTTCAATATCAGTGGCACTTGAACTATCAACACATATTTGCATAGGAGGGTTCTGGACATAAAGAAAAAAATGATGAGTATGAAAACAAAGGGACTATAAGATTATTGACAATAGTAGTGAGAAAAAAATAATCAAGGATGCACCTTAACAAAGTGATCTTTAATAGAAGATGTAATAGGCAAGATTTCCACACCATAGAGATAACCCTCAATTGAGTCATCTTTGTTAGCACCAAGTAAAGAAACTTTTTTTGAGCTATCAGAAGTGTAAGCTACATGATTCTCACCAACAATCTCACCATTAATGTAAAGTCGTATAGTATCAGTAGAAACCTGTTTGATCCAAAGAATCATAGAGCTCAAATCATTAAAGATAGGAGCACAAGAATATCACAATTTAATAAGAATTTTCAAAATGTGCTTAAAGTATACCTCACATCCAATGTGAATCCATTTGTTTAGAGGGACATCAATCTTGGTTCTTGCAGTGGGAATTTCTGTTTCTATAGCTACATCTTCAGGAATTGATGTGTCTTTTGGTACAGAAAGAATAGGGTAAAGCACGATTTCTTTATTTGCATTCAATGAAAGAAACGGGGTAGAGCTAGTTGTATCAGAATGATGCTGCAAAATCGAAAAAAGACACCTGTTAATACACAAATGTTGTAAGAATCAAATGATCCCAATAAATATAAATTTGCAGAAGTGTTTTGTTCTTGAAGAATCAGTGCTCATTCTTAAACGAACAAAACCCATGTACCAGCGGTTACAACAAACAAAACACAAAATCTTTATGAACAGACGGGTTTTGTTAATAGAATCACATTAGAAAAGGAACATTTATCATCTCTACATTTGAAACCACGAATAATATGAAAATCCGTGACGAAAATGGTGTTTTTTTTGTAGGAAACACAAATCGGATTTAATCGAAGTAAAACTAAACAGACCTGGCGAAGAAGGGTAGAAGGAAAAGGGGATGAATCAGCAGGTAGATACAGCCAAAAGCAAAGAGAAAAAGTGCCATCGAGATCGCTCTCGTTTGTGATGATTTCCAATTTCAAGTCTTTTAGCGAAGAGTAACCACCATCTTCAACCACATTACTGCCCATTTTCGCTGATTCTTCCACGAAAGAAACTGAGAAAGAGCCAGAATTTCGCTGTTCTTCCGTCGTTTCTTAGAACAAGAATACGAGTGAAGAGGGTCTTGAGGGGTTGTTTGATTCTTGACTGCTGCTGTTTAACGGTTGGTTAGGGTGTCCGGTGGTTCTTGAAAATGGGTAGAAAATTTAGCACCTAAAGCATATTTTGACGTCAAAGCTCAAGTCAATTTTTATATTACAGTTAACTACAAAAAATAGTCCATGAAATTTTAACTAATAACAATTTTAGTCCCTTGGTTAAGAAAATGTCTATTTTAGTGTCATGACTATTTATTTTATATCAACTAGGTTTATTCATTTTTTCGTTGGTTTAATGGAATGCCAATAAAACAATAGATTACTTATAAGATTCAAAGCAATGGGCAAACGCTTTTTCTTCTTAAGTCATATTTTGCTCTTTAGTTTGGAGGCATTTGAAAAAATGTAAAAGATACAATGTCTTGATGTAGGCGGAAAAGAAATATAAAAACTTTGACTAGTGTAAAATTGAAAAAATCGACAATTACTGTCTAAAATTTTGAATACAATAGAAGAAGAAGTGAGCAAATGATCAGGATTTTGAACCAAAACATAAAGAGTTATAGTGATGAAATATGTTTATACTGATGAAGACGACGGTTCATTTAATTTATAACACTTAGGGCACCCTATTAGTGCGACGTGGCAAGTTGCAATAAGAAATTGGC